CCGACTCTTTTCTCTTTCCACGCAGCTGATCCACGATGAACTGGGCCGGATTTTACGCCATCCTGAGCGGCGTGAACCGCCATTCCACGGGCATCGGTCGCATATGGCTGTCCGTGGTCTTCATCTTCCGCATCATGGTCCTGGTGGTGGCGGCGGAGAGCGTGTGGGGGGACGAGAAGTCGGCGTTCGCCTGCAACACCCAACAGCCGGGATGTAACAGCGTCTGCTACGACCACTTCTTCCCCATCTCCCACATCCGGCTGTGGGCCCTGCAGCTCATCATCGTGTCCACGCCGGCCCTCCTCGTGGCCATGCACGTGGCCCACCTGCAGCACCAGGAGAAGAAAATCCTGAAGCTGTCCGGCCACGACGACCCCAAGGAGCTGGCGCAGGTGAAGCGGCAGAAGATCCGCATCTCGGGCACGCTGTGGTGGACCTACACGCTGAGCGTGGTCTTCCGCATCATCTTCGAGGTGGCCTTCATGTATCTCTTCTACCACATCTACCCCGGCTACGCCATGATCCGGCTGGTCAAGTGCGGCGAATACCCCTGCCCCAACACCGTGGACTGCTTCGTGTCCCGCCCCACCGAGAAAACCATCTTCACCGTCTTCATGCTGGCCACGTCCGGCATCTGCATCGTCCTCAACGTGTCCGAACTCTTCTTCCTGATCGGGAAGGCGTGCGCCCGCCGCAGGCTCCGCCACGAAGACTCCTACCGGGGCCACGAGCATCGGCAGAACGAGATGAACACCTTGCTGACCGTGGACAGCCTCAAAAAGGCGCCCGGGGGCCAAGAGAAAGGAGAGCACTGCTCCACGTCCTAGGGGGGGCCCCAATACACGCGGTCATCCGACGTGGCCGACTCAGTCAGGGACGATCACATGACTCATTTACACGGCAATATTTGCACAAGAAGCAGGGACGTGTCCTACGTGTCATGATCATGATGGCGGGCGCTCGTGGTTTCCGGGTGCTCCGCCCCCTTTTATGTTGTCTGTGATGCTATTTTGTTTATTATTGAAGTTTAGAATTATTTATAAACTATAAAGGAGGAAATATTCTCCCCCCATCTCTGTCCTCTGATCTCCTGCAGCCTCTTTACAGCCACTTCCTGTCTACATGACTCCAGTGACGGCTGCACGGCATTCCTCAGGGCGGGCTTCCTGATGGTGACAACAGTGGATCATGTCTGTGTAATGTGCGCTGTAACAACCCCTTGTAGTCTCCATCAGAAGACCTATAACAGGAAGTGTCTGAACAAGGACAGAGTGCTGTCACCCTATAACAGGAAGTGTCTGAACAAGGACAGAGCGTTGTCACCCTACAAGGAGGTTAGGTCGGCACACACGGGGGACAATCTCTATTTTGAAGACACGAAGCCATAAATATAACAAAGCCGATTCTGTCCGGAGCAGCTGTCAGGTGACGTGGCCCCGAATATTACCGTCCAATACAAAAACACCAGTTCCAATGTAATTAGCTCCGCCCCCTTGGACCACCCAGAAGACGTGTCATGGACACCTGTCACCCCCCTCTGTCCTATGGGAGGACAGTTCAGTGTTACATTGTATCTTCCGTGTCACATGACCCCCCCCTCCCCCATCCAATACCCGTCATCAATAATGGAGACCCAACGAAGAAACCTGAACATAATGTGCCGAGCTTAAAGGGCAACGTACATGAAGAGC